GGGCAAGTACTCTAGGAGTTCTCTAGATGCTGAGATTACAAAGCAAGTGGTGGAACGTATGGACATGGAACAATTTGCATATAGTTTCTCAGTAGTGTGAATGCACACTGTTCAAAACACTTGAAACCCAACGACATGCATGATGCGACACATGAGTACGAAAAGCCCCAGGTGCACCCGAGGACTGGGAGCACGCACTTGCTGATGGACAGAGAGATGTGCCAACTGCATCTGTAACATTTTATTCCGTAAGCTATGTGTGGGGTAGACGAATATAAATATAAGGGACATAAACATCAATGTTAATACAAACAAATGAATGACAACTACACAGAAATGAGAAGCACGGCCAGGCAGCGGGACAGCATCAGCATAAAACTCGAGTAGAGCTAGTGGGCACCACGGGACCCCAGCAGACTCAGGAGGCCAAGGCAGAAGGGCTATGCATTTGAGGTTAGTCTGAGATACATAGCCAGATCCTGTGTGAAGTAAATGTGTAAGATCAATACATGGAGCCACACGGAGCCACATGAAGCCACTGTGAGAGCCACATGAGACCCTGACTTTGTCGTAACAGCAGAGACATCGTGGAGAAGAGGAGAGGAGGAGGGTAGCTAGGGCTTTCCAGACACAAACATCAGTGCTTAAGGCAGAAGGAACACAACAGAGCCCAGCAGCACACTCAGTGTCTGGGGGCATCCTTGAACAGTGGAGACAGGGAGGGTCTCCACACACAGTGAGTCCAGACTGACCAGACACCCAAAGATGACTCACATGACTTCAGCTATGAAAAACAACAACAGGACTACCTTACACCAGGTAGAAGTGATGTCAGACACAGCAACACACTGCATATGGAAAAAGACTAAACTTATATCATATCTGAACAGTTGTTTTAAAAGAATAAAAAATAGGGGAACTGGAGAGATGGCTCAGCACTTAAGGACACTGGCTGCTCTTGTAAAGGACCTGGGTTCAATTCCCAGCATCCACACAGCAGATAACAACCATCCACAACTCTAGTTCCAAAAGAATCTGATGTCCCTTCTGACTTCCTCCGGCATTGCACAACACAGGTGCACTTACATACATGCAGGCAATACAACTCATACACATAAAAAATAAACTATTTGAAAAATAAAAAGTAGGGATGGGGGGTGCTCCAGAGAGTGCACAGTGGCTAAGAGCACTGGCTGCTCTTGCAGAGGATATGCATTCAGTTCCCAGCACCCACATGACACTTAACAACTGACCATAATCTCCAGAATCTCCAGTTCCAGGGATCCAACACTCTCTCTGACCTCCTCAGGCACTGCACAACATGGATGCACTTATATACATGTAGGCAAACACTCACATACACAAAATAAAAATAAACCAGTAAGATAAAGAAATGGTGAGGACGAGCAGCAACTGCAATGGCCAGGTTCAGACCCCAAAGCTCCGAGACGGAAAGGCTTTTCATAAACATGCCAGCAAAACTCATTTGAGGCATTTTTAGCTTTTAGCATTCCGTCTTCCTACCAAGTGTGATGACGGTTCTGTTGTGTAAGCAATTCACATGTTTGCCTCCGACCTTGCTGGGGCTTCAAGGCAGATGGTACCTACATCATAGTACAATCCTACTTTTTAAAAATGATTTATTTATTTTTATTTGTACAAGTGTTTTGATGGACAGTATGTATACTGGCATGTGTGTAGTGCCCAGTAAGGCTGGAAGGGGGCGACAGAGCTGCCATGTGGGTGCTGGGAATCAAACCTGGGTCCTCTGGAAGAACAGCAAGTGCTCTCAACACCTGAGCCACCTCTCCAGCCCCTATAGTACAATTCAAGAACCTATCTGGAAGCCATCAGCTTTGTGTGAAGGGCCACATCTCTGTCCCTGTATCCCAGAGCTACTGAGGAAGGAGGTGAGTAAGGACCGAGTTGGTGAGCACAGGGCTCCTGCTGAAGAGGCAAAAATGATGTGCGTTGTTGTTAAGAAAACAAAAGATACAGTGTCAGGACCATCAGACTGGGAAAAGGACTCTCCATATATGCCCACCCGACAGAGGACACTGGGATATTCAGATTCTACACACAGCCATGAACAAATGCTGAACTACCCTCAGGGGCTAAGGAACAGCTCAGTTTGTAAAGCGATGGCTTCACAAGCATGAGGATCTGAGGAATCTCCAGAAGCCACATAGGAAAGAGGGACACAGGGTATGCATTTGTAATCCCAGTGCTGGAGATGAGAAGACAGTAGATCCCTGGAGGCTCACTGCCAGCCAGCACATCCAATCAGTGAGCCTTCAGCCAGTGAGAGACATTGTCTCAAAAAAACACTATGGACGGTACCAAGGAATGATGCCCAATGTTTTTCTCTGACCCTCACATGCACATGTACAGATAAGTGCACAACTTTGAAAGCCACTGCTAAGGAAAATATAAGCCATAAACTGGAAGAAAAAAATTTGCAGATCCTATGTGAGGAAAAAGACTTGTGTCCAGAATATTTAAAGAACTTTCAAAATTCAGGAAGAAGCAGTCAGCCTAATTAAAGACTCAGCAGAAATGTGGCTGCGCTGTGCAGGGAGACCTGAGGGTGTCAGCCAAGCGCAGGAGATGCTCAGCAGCAAAGCCACTGGGGAGGCGACGTAACCAGAACTCCAGGCTGGCCTGCCAAGTGAGGAGGCTGACAGGAATCCAGTGGTTCCCCCACTTTGCAAAATGGTTTGGCAGATACTTACAACACTGCAGCATACTTGCCATCAAACTCAGCAGCCCCACTCCTAGGTATGAATAAGATCGTCCATCATCACAGAATTGTTTGCGAGTGCTCATGACAGCTCTACTCCTATGAGCATGACCAGAAGTAAACCAAGCATACATAGGTGACAGATGCACCGTGGCACATCCATACAATGGAATACTTACTACTGAGGAATGTAAAGGAACGGACTTGGTGAGATGGCTCAGTGGGAGAGTGAATCTGTTTCAGGAGCCTGATAATCTGAGTTCGATCCCTGGGACCCATGTGGTAGAAGGAGAGAATCGACGCACTCAAATTGTCCTCTGACCTCCACACACACACCATGGGTATACACACATGCACACACACAATATAACCTAAAAATTAAAAAATAAAATACTTGAAGCTGGGTGTGGTAGGGCATGTCTTTAATCCCAGCACTTGGGAGGCAGAGGCAGGCAGATCTCTTGAGTTCAAGGCCAGCCTGGTCTACATAGTGAGTTCCAGGACAGCTGGGGCTACAGGAGACCCTGTCTCAAAAAGACCAAAAAATAAAAAGAAATAAAATAAAATACTTGAATAAAGGAAGCCAAACCCCTCCAGAGGGTGTGCCCTTTCTGACTGCATTGCACACAAACTCCAGCACAGAGACAAAAGCAGGCACCATGGAGAAGTCAGTGCTGTGTAATCGCTGGCAGCAGGCCATCTCTAAGGGTCTAAGGGACCAGTACATTCTCTGTCCTGACTGTGGATGTGCAGAGCTAGGGAACAGACCTGCCTTCCCCTGGGAAAGCTGCCACAGCCTCTCGAGCGCAGCACTCTGCATCTCCTGGCATAGCCCAGAGCTGGACCCTGCCTTTGGGAGTGACTCTTACTGAACACAGGCACAGGTGTCTGCCCAGGCGATGGCTGTCACACCACGTGGCTGAGCTGAGTAGTTGAAAGGACCAGTCTCCTTGGTGGCTCCCTCGGGGAAAGGGGACTAGAGCACCGACAAATGCACTCCCCTTTCCCTGGATGCTTTTATTTCTTTGTTAAAAAAAAAAAAATTTAAAGTATTTTCAGATTAGTGAGTTATACCTCATGTTCATCAATAAATCTTAAGACGACCACAGTGACCTGCTGGTTCTTCTATGTCCAGCTGCGATGCACTTCACCCCTGATGATGCACACACTCAATATGCTTTTTCAAAAGCAGTAACTGCTCACCAAACAAGGACATATCTCCTTTCATCTTCTGAGGTGTACCCTCTAAAGTGTATTCTTCATAGCAAAGTCTGAACACCCCAGAACACACTGTATAAACCCACAGCTGTGACACTGAAGCCTGTAGGTGCTGGACATGACCCACACTAGCAGCCTGGACGGACGCATGCAAGAAAGGACACAGTGCACGGGTTCTCAGAACATCACTAGAACATCTGGTGGCACATAAACAGGACATGGCAACCCTATTCCACGGGACACAGCCCACAGAAGATACTTCTCACCCTGAGGAGCAGGCGCCACAGCTGTGGGTCCAGCCTGCAGAATGCTACTCCACTCAGTCGAAGGCCTCTAGCCACACAGTTCTCCCCAGCTATTTCAGCTCATATTTGCATGATAGGACAGGACACTTTATAGTGAATTATCTAAGACAAATAATCATTCATTCAACTGGGGAAAATGTGCATGTGTGCACACACCCTCACATATACAACGTTTTGCAATTGTCGACTGATAAAGCTAACTAGCCAAGAAACTTGTTTATTTAAAGAAAAATTATTCTATTTCCCAGCTGTGGTATTTGAATGAAGCACAGGTGCTCACCCAAGGTCACGTGCCCAAGGAAAGGGTGGGGCTGACAGAACACCATGCATCCCAAGACCTAGGAGCCAGATACACATAGAACTTACACTCAGAGACCGGACAGAAAATCCCCCAGCTTTTAGTTTTCAACGACCCAGGGCCAGGTGGCCAGCACATCCGCTCTGCAACAGGCCAGGGAGAAAGGGTGGGCAAGGCCACAAGGGAAGGCCATGGAGTCGAGGCAGAACAGGCTCCCCATGCCAGCCGTTGCCCATTGCCAGCCACAGGCAAACACCACAGGCTGGATGGTCAGGAGCCAGCCCCTTGCAGAGCCCCATGTTCTCTATCCCCCTACTGGGGTAGGAAATGGCATTTCAATACATGAGCAGGAATTACTAATTTCAAAAACACACAACACATGTAAGAAGTTTTTACAGCATGAGACACTGCCGAGCGCCAGTGTCAAGGGTTGCCATACCTTCTCCCCAGGTCGAGGGGACTGTCCCAGCTTCTCATAGTCCTTCTTGGTCTCCAAAATCTTCTTCACAAGCCCACCTGTTAAAACCAGTGGCTTCACGTTAGATGTTAAAGCTTAAAATGCTAATGCTTATTTTCCGCCCAAGAAGCTATTTCAAGGGGGAAGGGGAAGGAATAGCAATTCTTATCCTTAACCCAAGAGAACCGTAACGTCCATCAGCAAGAAGAACCAGGATCCGGATACAGACAGAGCTCTTATTAATGGCCAGGCCTGGAACTTCCCCAGCTCCGTCCGGACCAAAGCAAAGCTTCCCGTGATAAAGACAGATTACAGCAAAAGCAGCCGGTAGATGTGAATTACGAAGCGTCAAAGCATGCCGCAGAAATCTGCCCCTCAAAAGCTGAAAAGTTTGGGCAATAAACAGAGTTTCTCCTTCTCAAAGCTACAAGGAAATGCAGATTAATATTCAAAATACAACCACCTGCTGCAAACAGAGAGAGTAATTTTTGGTTGTTTCAGCCTAGATCTGGGCAAGAACACTGAATTTCCTTTAGACTTCTCCATGGAGTAAATATATAAAAATCATTTTCTTAAAAACATCATTTTACCCAAACATGTCTCAATATGAGACTGAAGAGGTTAGTGATGAAACAGCCACACAGCCGTCAAGAGAGGTGAAGACCTCACCTCTGTGAGGAGCGACAGCCAGCCCAGATGTCAGGTTCAGGAATAATGTTGCTGCACATACATCCACACACATCTCCCTATATTTTACCATCACCTACAGGGGAAAGTGAGAACAGGGACCTAGAAAGAGCAAGGGTTAAAACCCTACACCGGTGCTGGGGCGGGGGCAGGGTGCACACTTGTAATCCTAGCACCCAAGGGGCTGAGGCAGAAGGACTGCCACAAGGGGTCTCCCCAGTGAGTTTAAGGCCAACCAGGGAGGCATACTGGGACCCTGCCTCAAAAACAAAAACAAAAAACCCTTGTACTCCTTAATACATTTAGCTGTTTCATTTAACCTTAAAGCCACGGGAATATTTTACAGGAATAAAACCGAAGTTGAGCTGGGTGTGGTAGCACGTGCCTCTAAGCCCAGCACTGAGGAGACTGAGGCAGGAGATCAGCCTGGGCTACACAGCAAACCCCAGTTTCAAGAAAACATGCATGTGCGTGTGTGTGTGTGCACGCGTGCGTGCGTGCGTGTGTGTACACACATGTCTTGGACATCAAGACAAGTTGCCACGTGACCAGAGCCCATGCTTCTCAGTCCTATGGTTCCCTCCACACCTGCACTGGGCAAGAGTGCTCCTCCTAGAACACACATGGCTTGTGTGACCTGACTGGAGCACAGCACACCATGACTACTTGCATCAGACTCTTCCAGGTCACACAGGAAGAGACACCCGTGCACAGGGAACACACGTGCACACACACCGGCACTCACCATGCTTTTCCTCGTCCTCCACATCCCCCACCGGCACCTAGGCAAAGATGTAGAGAGGAAACTCAGGTACACCAGATATCAAAACCATGCTTTTGTGACCTCAAAATATTTAAAGAAAGTAGAAAACTGATTGGAAAAATTGGGAAAACTGTTGTCTATACAAAATCAAAAGGCTGGACTCCAAATTTTTAATATAATTACTAAAAACAGCACCCTCTGGTGAACTAACCATTTCAATTTCTGACATTTCTGAAAGCTGCGGGTCACCTTCCACCACAAACTGCTCATCGTCCTCGTCATCAGAATTCTGTGAGTCAATGATCACATTGGAGACAGTTTTACCACTGCCTGCCCTAAACAAGAAGAAATGATTCACATCAGAAGTCACACATCACCCGCAGCCTTTCATCATCCCCCAAACATCTGGAAACATCAGCAGTTCTCTGAGAGAAACTGGACTGCCACCCCCCCACACAGGTGAAGGGAAACCTCAGGGACCAGCAGGGCAGAGGGAACACCCCCTCCACCACCCTGTGCAACCTCCACTGCTCACCAATCCTGGCCACAGCCAGTCCCTCTACTGCAGCCTAGCTGGTCCCTCTACAGAACAAAGGCCCTCAGGATCTCCCGATTCCCTGACTCTGGCTCAAAGACTACACCTTCGCCTGCTACCCTATTTTTAACTTGTACAATTAAGCCTTTAGCCTTTTTTTTTGGTCTTTTTGAGACAGGGTCTCCCTGTAGCCCCAGCCGGCCTGGAACTCACTATGTAGACCAGGCTGGCCTTGAACTCACAGAGATCCACCTGCCTCTGCCTCCCAAGGGCTGGGATTAAAGGTATGTACCACCACGCCCGGCTAACTTTTTTCCTTTTTATGCTTAGTCTTCTATCTAGAAGTCAGAGAAATACAAACCACAGCCCAACACTTGCACATGCATTTAGAGAGGTACTTGTATATGTGCACACATAGTTCCCCCTTTCACCCATCTAGAATGCATATTGCTCTGTGGTTTAAGGTGATGACCTAACCCCACTTTTCTTCAATAGCATGTTTTACCAGCACCACCTACTGCACCCCCACTCTGCCTCTAGGCATAGACCCAAGCATCCCACTGACCACTGGAGAGAACATGCAGCCCTTGTGACTCCTGCTGGGGCAGCCTCACCTGTCTGCCAACGTCTCAGTGCTCTCTTGTCGTCTGACCCGGGGAGGCGCTGGGCGTGCACTCCCAGGTCGAGGTATTCTTCTAATCCCAGATTTTGGAAAAGAAAAGGATATGAGACACACACACATTTCAAAGTAGACAAAAAACCCAAGTCAACATTAGCACCGACATCCGTGCCACCAACAGCATGCTAGTCAGTGCACACTATACAGAGGATGTAGACACCCGATTCAGAGAGCAACTGTCATTCCCATGTGACACACCTCAGCCATCACCAGAAACTTCACTGAACACTACAATGCTCTATGCAGTTATGTAACTCAGGCACAGAAAAACTACAGGTGTTCCCGCACTTACAATTTAGCATTAGCACCAAATGGACATCAAAAGCTACAGCAGGAGGCACCACAGCTGCTCCTAGTGGCCACATCACCCAGGCACCAGGAAAGCACACACACCTGAGGCTGGAGGACAGTTCACTGGGGATCTCTCCGTTCTCTGACACCTCGGGCTTATCTTGGCCAGTAGGTCCAGCTTCTCCTGAACAGGTGACAATTTAATCAGCAATTCACAAAGAATTCAATAGTAACAAAGATATATTTATTTCAAATATAAGTATCAATTCAAATAGACATCTTTAAATTAATTTAATTGGAAAGGCATCAATCAAATGATTGCAAATTTAAATAAGCTCTTTCATCTGTCATTTGATGATGCTAACTAAAACAGGCAGAGGTCTGAGAGCTAAATGTGAACATTTGGGGCCACAGGTATGCTCAGCCCTCTTAATGCAAGCTGGCCAACAACTCAAGAAATAAGGCCCAAAAGATAGGTGGATCAGGGGCTGCAGAGATGGCTCAGCAGTTAAGAGCACTGGCTGCTCTTGCAGAGG